GCCTCACTCAGCAATATTCCAACTATAGGACGGCGGTTTGTAAATAGTCGACTCTGGACCAGACAATCCAGTGATTAATACCATGAGCATCTACCCACGCAATTGGGATCGATGACATGCATCAACCACGTCAGCGAGCCTGACCACCCGATCCCGTTAGTCGCCTTTTCCGGCAAGCATGGGTTGCTGAAACTATTCTACCCCTGATCTTCTCGGGTCTTGGGGAAAGATAGCCCACCTGTCAGAAGTTCTCATGGCACTTGAGAACCTCTGTCAGGTTCATGCTAAGTCCAAAGAAAATACTCAATCAGAACCCAACACAACAAGCCATCCTGTTCTCCCAGACCAGTTTGTCTCCCAGAGCAATCCCTTTAATATTCAAGGATACAATCGTGCTTCATGTTATTTTAAAGCAGCAGTCAATATAGGCCCTATTCAGCCACCCCAGTAAAAAGATCGCTGTCCACATAGTCGTGCGACAAGCTGGTAGTGCTCCAGGAGATGTTTGACAACCTCGAAGACAACACCCCATGGACCTGCAGTCTCTTGGCAGAATTCACTTCTGTCCGGACCGCCCTCACTGAGACACGTACTCCGACTTTACCTCGACACAGAGACCAAATGGTTGACACTGATGGTGCTATGAAGCATCACGGCATAATCACCACACGAAGGCGGACAACCTGAGTCGCATCAAACATTTTGAGAGGTCATGCGTCACTGTATGACTTTTGCTGGTAAAATTATCCATCTTCCTAGTTTCCCCTACCCTGAAAATCTGGTCCCTTGAAATCAGTGGTGTGAGTACATCTGTGGATATAGTGAGACTTTGCTACCCCAAGTGGTATCGCTTTTTAATTGTTTGGCTCATGGGCGAAGTATGTAGAATGTGTTTTGTGTGCCTACTATATGGCTTTACAGCATACAAATACCCTGTATAGATGACCCACTTCGCCGTGCTTTGAAACGTCTGCGACTGCATGCACGGGGCATTGTGGACAAACTTAAGCAGTCAAGCGACAGTGAACGACACAGCTAGGACATCGAGTAGCACAGAACAACCGACCCTATTGGGGGTTTATTGACGACTGTCAAGGTGACCTAAAGTAGAAATGGCGTCCGACGGAGAAAAGTTTTAAAATGTACAAACTGCTGACGTAAAGAAATAGGAAGCACCTCATAAGCCTCAGGTAGGTACACTGCATTTTGTAACATTAGTTAGTTAATTAGATAAACGATTGCATGTTTCAACATTGCAGTAGTTATGGTATATATTGACGACATTCACTGTACTGACACTAAAATTACACTTTCATTTCACAGTTATAGGCATTCACAGTACTTTGGTGAAAACTGAGTATTTGATAGTTGGATCATACATGTTTAACAAAGGAAATTTAAAACTGCATGGTCATCTCGTTCTTCATTTTCAAAAAGGGGTATGCGTTGATGTTAATTAGCGAAAGTGTCCAAACAATAAATCTTGGGAAGTCAGTGATTGTTGTATAACGCCACACGCAGAAATAATTTCAACTATTTGACGGGGGTCTGTAAATAATCGAGTCTGGACCAGATAGTCCAGTGATCTACCTCAATAGCATCAATCTACGGTACTGGGGTACGATGGTATGCATCAACCAAATCAGCGAGCCTGACCACTCACTAGTCGCCTCCCATGGCAATCATGGGATATATATATATAACACCTTATAACTATATAACTATAAGCGTATTAAAGAACTAAAGTTTGCTCAACCCCGCTGTGTAGTAAAGTATACTTTTGCCCTGAACTATTATAGTTAAGGCGCAAGGACGCTTGGCCTTATGATTGTTTAGGACAAAATTAAACTTTATTTCACTACACACTGCTGTGGCACGGACACAGTGATGGAAATTGGTTGATGCATGTCATCGTATCCCAATTGCATAGAACGATGCTCATAAACCACTGGATTGTCTGGTACAGACTCCATTATTTACAGCCCGCCGTCATATATCTCGAATATTGCTGAGTGAGTCGTTATACAACAAACAACCAAGCACACTATCAGCTAACACCTGTGGTCGTCACCACAGTCAAGTCAAGTGTGTTAAGGTAAAAACCAATCCCGACAGCTCGTTGTTGAGATGCATTTGAATCATTAGCATGAGATGACGTAACTTAACGTTGGATTACTTCTTCCGTCTTCTTTGCGTGCTTCACACACAAATCTACTCAATTGTAGTTCAATTTGTTTGCACTGAGAAACGCGCCTCGTGGTTGGAGTCAGCATTTCAACCATTAACACCTTAGTGTGAACCTGATACTGTACGCTTGTGTTCAGCCAGTGGCCATAGTTGAAGCAAAAGTGTTTTGTCTCCTGTTTAATATGAAAATATGAAAACAAGAGCTGGTATCAATATTACTTGACATAATTTCGATGAATCAATGTTGAAAGGTGCACAGACATTCAAAATAGTTTATACATCTGCAGATTGTGATGAAAAGGAAACACCTGAAGACATGTTGATGTTTGGCTTTGTCCTGGTAAGGTTTGGTGAGTATACCTACTGTTTCGTAATGGTTTGTTTTCACAGTGAGTGAGTTGTGTTTCCTTCTAAAGACTGAAATACATTATTGAACATATACACATGTTCATATAGCAGAGATTTGTTGTGAATATGGATAGGGTTTTTTACGCTTTTATTAAAAAATCATATTGACACAGCGTGTAAAATCATATAAAATATGAATTTACTGTTACTGTAGCTTGGTCACTACAATAGTACAATTTTAAGACTGCAGGTTTTGTTGAAATGCCAATCTGTTTTGTAAAGAGAATGTTGGTGTCCTGATTACAAAGCTTGTTTTAACAAATTTATATCATTCTTCATTGAAAGGTATTAAGTACATGCGGTTGTTTACGCTGTATTTCTTCCTGCAGTATTCAGTGTGGGTGGTGACGGTCAATGTCCATTCGGCAAGTACGGAGAAGCTTGCGGCCTCAGCTGTCCCCAGCACTGCGCCAGACTTGCAGACAATGATGTCCCCCTCTGTGATAAACAGAGTGGGAGTTGTTCCTTAGGGTGTTTCGCTGGCTGGTATGGAGATCAGTGCAACTCGGACTGTAGCACATACTGTGTAAACAGGACATGCAATCAAGAAAATGCACACTGCACTTTAGATTGTACGGAAAAAAGAGCGGGGGATTTTTGTGAGATTCTGAAAGGTATGAAGATATTATAGATTGGAAACAAAGTTCTAAACATAGATAGATAGTTTCCAGTAACAGGGGAAATGACAAAATATATGAAAACGTTCGTTACCTACAGAAACTATTATATATTTACCTGAAATGTTTGATGATACAGTACCATAATTTGTTTTCATTAAGTTAATTCTCCTCTGCTGTCATTACGTGCAAACATTAAACAATGACAGTTATAATTTCATGATGAACATTTCTCAAAACATTTCTATGATAAAAGGAGCATTTTACAACCCTTGCTGGTTGTTCTTTATATTCAAATTCAAATACCCCTATAATACGCGGTCAGAATGTGTAGGTGATCAAAAGCCGGAAGCATAAGCCATATATATCATCTAAAGTAAAGAATAACTTCAATGAAAAATTACTGGTGTCTTGGTGGGCTTCTGTGGACGGTCTAGAAAATATTAATATTCTTGCCATTGGCATTCTTTCACAAACTGTCTTGTTAAATGATACATACACGTAGGGAAGGTAACGGTTGTCTACCAATCATGGTCTACAAACGGCATCAGATTAAATAACGATTTTAGTTACGAAAAGGGACACTTTCTCTCATTTCTGCAATTCACAGAGAAATACAACATTAAAATTAAAATCTTAATTATCTAAGTGTGATCCAGTCTATTAAGCAATACTGTCGGAGACAGGGCATTCAGTGGTTAAAGAAACTTAGTTCACAATTTTACAATTTAATTTATTTCAATTGTTAAGAAACCAGGAAAGGTTCTCAATATTTCTGTAAGATACTTATGGACAAACAAATTACCAAGAATCAATACTTTCAAAAATGATAATTTCCTCTTAGAAGTGAAATGTATATATCTGTGGTTTCAAAACCAAATATTACATCATATTCTACCGACAAATTCTCAACTCTATAAAATGGGATGCATGGTCAGTGACTTGTGTAGCTATTGCTCAAATGATAAAGAAACGGTTTTACACCTATTTTGTGAATGCCAAAAGGTACGTCACATCTGGTCCAATATTGAAAACTGGCTTCTAAATAAAGGGAAAAAAAACATTCATCTTTCAAAAGAAAATGTTTAACTCAGGTATACCTCACAAAACAATAATCCTGTAAACACCATAATCCTGGTGCTGAAAACCCCCTCATATTTGACAAAATAATTGAACACAAAATACCAACTTTTCAGAATATTCAATGGGAGCTTACTCCATACTACTTATTAACAAAGTATTTTGCAAATGTAAATTATGATATGGGATATTTCAACAGGTACTGGTCAAGCTGTCATTTACTCTGCTCTTAAATATGTAATGTGCGCAACTGTACATGCAAAATAAATATATATATAAAAAAAAATGTTGAACAGTATACGTTGTTTGCCAAGCACATTTGAATACTTGTGCAGTGGAGACGACAGCATCCCCCTCACCGGGAAGTTCTCCCTCACCGGCCGTGATTGTCATCCCTGTGTGCATCGTGGTCATCGCAGTTATCATCATTCTGGCGGCTTTCCTCACACTGTAAGTATAAATATGAGTATTACTCAAACTGAGCATAATGTTATCTGATACTTCAACATTGCTACAAAATGAATATGTCTCTATACATGACTGACAACATAGTCAGTGCTAAAGAATCCAGATCGAACGCTGTGTTGAGCATTTTGACGAATACTGTATTTTTCACAAACTAATAACTGTCAAATAAAAAATGTCAGAACATATTCTGGAATAGATGTGAGTATAATAGCATTTCTTTATGCTGTATTGCAGACGGAAAAGACGTCAAGCAAGGTAATGCACGACTTTCTCTCTCTCTCTCTCTGTCGCTTGCCTATTTGTCTTAGGTGCACATTACAGTGCAGAGTGACATTCCTTAGTCCTGCCAGGATTCGCTGATGAAGGTTCGAATCCCATGTTCGTCCTGATAATATATAATTCAGTCGACACGGTACCTAACTGCACTATCTACGTCCTTTGTGCTGCTGTGGCAGGAATTGTTTTTTGTTTAAAGTGGTGTCTAACCGATATATAATAATGTGCTAATTTCAGCGAATCTAAGTTGTTTCGAATTAGTATATTCTTATGGTTTCATTTCAGATCCCATCGAAATGGTATGTATAGGATTATAGCATGCGGATCCTTGCATTCGTCCTTATGTTACTCTCCTTAGCTATTTGGTAATGGACCGCCTCCGTGGTCCAGTGGTAGAGCGTCCGCCCGGAGAGCGGAAGGTCCGGGGTTCGATCCCCGGCCGCGTCATACCAAAAGACGTTAAAAGATGGTACTTGTTATTACCCTGTCTGGCGCATCGGGCTAAAACAAGGACTGGTCGGCTCCGAGTCAGTATACTGTGTCTGAGTGGGGTATTCATGTTAAACTGCGGCATGGTATCTCAGTGAGCTAGCACTTTAAATCGGCATCAGTCCGGACTAGGACACACACACACACACATACACGTGCATGCACGTCGCTATATAAGTGCAATAATCTTGGACGCGACGTTAAACCCAATTTCATCTCACCTCACCTATTTGGTAATGTTGTAACTCTGACTCTTTGACCTTCTTTGTGTTATTGAGTAATCCTACATTGATTCACCATCTATACCAAACTTTATTAAAGAAATAAACGTCGAGTTGGAGTTGGTTATCGTTCAGTAAAACACTGCAGAGAATAAACCATGAGGGGCGCAGCACATGTACAAACTTTATAAAAATGTACCCGTTTATAAATAATGATGACTCCCTCAATAAAATACGTTTTACGTTTTACATCCATTTTATGCACAGGTGGGTATTTCCCGCATATTCTCACAATTGTCACGTCGATTATCTGTAACTTTTCTCCCACCATGGATGTTGATATCTCTCCCGCTTTGGGGTGCGATTGTTCGGCAATCTCGTTTATCTCCGATACTAAAGTTACCTTAAAGTTATTTGATACTAAAGTTACCTTAATAATGTTGACATGCTTCTTTGTGATCATGTTTCAGATCCATCTGATCAGGAGGAGCATCTGCTTGAAGGTAAATGCAGTTTCCTTCGTGATATAAATAAACGCTACACAACACTTTCCCTTTTAATAAATACTCACAGAAATATCTTGTTCGATTGTACCTCAAAAGTTGTGAAATGTAAACAACAAACGCGGCTCGATTTGCTTGACTACTGCTCGGTGTGTAGGGGAAATTGACTATTGGAGAGTTGAAGTCATCCCTCTTGTCAAAGTCACTCTGAATCTTTATGCCTATTTCTAAATATGAACCAGATGAAGCTGTTTCACTTGCCTCTTTTGTTTCTAGTTCAGCTGGATAAATCAATGGAAGGGAATTGGCTATTTGACCATTATTGAACAATATCAGATCATCAATATACCAGAATCTAAGTTAATCTTCTTGGTCAAATGACTTTGTTTCAATTTTGCCCATTCCAGAAGAAATTACGATTCATAAGGAAACAGCTCAGCAAGGAGAGGAGCACAATTTGTGCCAATGGGGATGTTTACTTCTTGCCTTAATGTCCTAGGTTATCCAAAATATATGTATAGAAAGTTTTACAAATAAATCAGATTAAGAATAATACATGGTCGAAGTGTTAATTACTGACATAGAATAAATGTGTCTTGGTCATTTTGTGTTTATTGAGCTTCAGTTTTACCTTTACCTAAATGTAAACAACCATGGTCTGTAACCTAGGTCAACACAAAAAGAAAAAGATCTCAACACTCCATAGACTTTGCATCTAAAACCAAGAAATTATGAGCATCTATATTATCTTAATAAGTACCAATTAATACTCACATATGACATTTTTCTTGACAGGGAGGAAACTTCCAAATACTGATCTTCATTTTGCAAGCATTGTTGGTGACTTGGACTTAATAGAAGACATCTTATCTGTCAAAGGCGAAGATGTCAACTGCAGAGGGGAAGACGGGAAGACTCCGATGATGTGTGCCGTCTCAGAGGGACGTATAAAAGCAATGAAACTACTGCTGGCCAAAGGAGCTGATGTGTCACTAGTGGATGATACTGGTGAAAACATCCTTCATGAGGCCTGTCTTGGGGGACATGTTGAGATAGTGGAGTATGTCCTTTCGCTGGAAAAAGTGGACATTGAACAAAAAGGGAACTACGGCAGGACACCGGTGATGAAAGCAGCAGAGATGGGATATAGAGAAGTGCTTGACGTCCTTGTTAGTAAGGGAGGCGACACGACAGCAGTGGATGATAAGGGCAACAACATCCTTCATGTAGCTTGTATTGGGGGAAATGTTGACATGGTGAAACATGTCCTTGCAGAAGATCGCATCAATAGTAAAGGACAGTACGGGAGGACCCCAGTCATGATGGCCGCATGTTGCCGACACAGAAAGGTAGTTGAAGTCTTAGAAAACAAGGGAGCTGATATATCAATAGTGGACAATGACGGTAACAACATCCTCCATATGGCCTGTATTGGGGGAAATGTAGATGTAGTGAAGTATGTCCTAACACTGGACGCTGTGGACATCAACAGTAAAGGACAATATGGAAGGACACCAGCGAGAATGGCTGATTTCCGAAAACACAGAGAAGTGTTTGACTTACTTATGGGCAAAGGAGCAGATCTATCACAAGTAGATGATCAAGGTGACAACATCCTGCACATGGTGTGTCTTGAAGGTCATCTGGAATTGGTCAAGGATATCATCACAAATAACAGAGTTGACATCAATAGCAGGGGACGATATGGGAGGACCCCGGTAATGAAGGCAGCAGAGAAGGGGCATAAAGAAGTGTTCATCTTTCTTATGATTAATAGAAGTGATGTGTTTCTGAAGGATGACCATGACAATAACATCCTTCACATGGCTTGTCTTGGAGGAAATCTGGAAATGGTGCAGTATATCGTCTCTCTTTGTAACATGGTAGAGGACATCAACAGTAGAGGACAGTACGGGAGGACCCCACTACTGATGGCAGCAGGGGGTGGACATACAGACGTGGGGAAATTCCTCGTGGACAAAGGGGCCGATGTGTCACTGGTGGATGATGACAGTAACAACATCCTCCACTTGGCCTGTTATCGAGGACATGAGCAGTTTGTGAAGTTTGTTATCTCGAAGAATGTTGTTGACATTTTGGCAGTAAACAAGCAAGGCCTAACAGCAAAAAAGATAGCAAAAGAATTAGGTGATCAAACTGTAAATAATGTTTTGTACAGCAGCCTTTTAAAATGAAGCCAACACAGTGTTTGCTTAGGCATTCTGATAATGTAGGACACATCAAAAGAGAATTGTGTGTTTTGCATGCCACTATAGATCTAAATAAAACAGTTTTTTGTCCATGTTTGTTGTGACATATGGGTGACAAGTCATCAATTTTTTTTATTACTATGCGTTGTTTATGGTTTGCCAACATTGTATTACATTTCATTTCTGCCCTTTCTTTTGGTATTTAAATGTTGATCTTATTATATCCACTCTATGGAATTGCATTGGAAATAATGTTTAACACTCATGCGTCAAATTTGAAAGTGTTCTCCACATGTCTCCCATAAAATGTTAAAACATGTAGCTTGTTTGGTTTCGAAGCATTATGCATATTGTTTATGTATGTCACTGGATTACAAGTTAAGTTGTAATATTAGCTCAGGATTAGCAATCAAAGTTAAGGGGTCTGCTTCTGAGGGAACATGTAGCGAAATGTAAATTACAGATAAAGGAAACGTAAATAATACTTGATATAAAGCAGCAACATACAACAGGAGAATACATATCTCCAAAACATCAAAAATAGGATTTACCCAAACAACTGACCGTTTTTCTTTCAAATATTCCAAACGGTAAAACTTCGAATTCAGTAAAAATGAATCAGGTTCAGTCAAATCCTTACAATGGTTACTCCAACGACCTGCAATTATTGAAGGTCATGTCCTAATTTGTTATGGATAAAACTATATATATCCGACCACAATATGAGATTCCAAGATGCGCTGCAATTGTAACGTTTCAAAATTGACAGATTGTATATCAAAGGCAATCTTGGCTTCAAACAATGTTCTCAGTAGACATATTGGTAATCCAAACAAGAATATATGAACAACATCTTTACTCGGATACAATATAGGTGAACAAGTTAAAAATGATTTTACTTCTTCCATTATATTTTCAATTACGCTAAGAGATTTTGAAAGAGAAACAATAACAACTGAAGTATTAACTTAAAGTGTGAAACACCTTAGACGTGAAGGTAAAGTTGAATTAAGGTGGACATATTTACTGACTTCCTTTGATAAAATATTTGTGTTAAGACATTTGTCTTCTTTAAAACCTCATTTACAAAACAATAGTTTTGTCTTAAGGTAAGATGTTTGGCAGAACACATCTATATTAACTAAAACTCACTTTAATTTGAAATGGTTGTCTTTTTATGAAATGTACGTAACAAGCGGTTAGCGGAAGTATACATTGCGTCACAGTAGAGCTGTGATGGTGTAGCATTGGAAATAAACAATGTTGCATTATTATGGCCAGGTGTTTCACTAAATGTTTCTTTTGGCGTTGAACTCTTCACTGGGACAGTAACGTACATTTCGTTTTCCCACATGTATGGCAAAACTAAAGATACAATATCCTACTGAGCTCTTGAATGTTGCAACCTTGATTAAACAACTTTTGAACAAGAGTCGTATTATGTTCCTTGAAATCCTTGCAGAAGAGCATGCTCGATTGTACCTCAAACCTTGTGAAACGTAGACATCAAAAGTTGGAGTAAATGGAATATAGCTTTACATAAGAGGAAAATTATCCTTCTTGTCATACAACCTTTTGGACAGGTTTTATGTATGCTTTGGTCCAGGCATGAAACCGATGAGGCACTTTCACTGGACTCCTTTATTTCTAGTTCAAGTGTGTTATTCATTGTTAATAATTGGTAATTGACATTAAGCTTGAGTTAAACGTCTTGGTCAGATTCGCTTGATTCTGATTTTGCCAATCAGAAAAGATGCATACTTCTGACCTAAATGTCCTCCGTTTAAAAAAGAAATGCGTAGAAAAGGATTTAATTAAGACAAAATATGGTCAAATGTCAACGTAATTGTATTAAACAATTAAGACATATATTACAACATTATTTCCCTTTGTGAGCATGGGCTGGAACTGTAACTAAGTCTACGGTAGAGACATTACAACCTAGATGAACGACGGAGATTCACAATTGTTACTTATCTGTACCGTTACGTATCGATTCCCTAATTGTAATAAATATCTTTACCAAAAATTCTATAGGTAGGGGAGCCAGGTGTGAAACCAATAACCAAACAAGTGATATACAATCATGAAATATAGTACACAAATTAACTAAGTTTACAAATCAATACAAATTACTGCACAACAATTACAATGGCAGTACACAATAGAGTGGTGGTAAAATATTCAATGGCAATAGATGATATTGCGGCAGTGGTCAGTATCAAATACAAAAATACAGTGGTAAAAGCAAAAGTCAGTGATAAAATAATTTATATATATTCACCCAAACCTTCCAAAATGGGCCAGGCAGGTAATCAGGGATGATGAGCGATCCTCACATGAAAACTAGTTTCGATGTCATGAAAATGCGTGAGGAACAATATGTGTGAGAGTTACATAAACTCTCTATGGACCCCTCGAAAGTTTCGTATAATACCCTCACAACATACAACATGCTCAAAGTTTCTATAACATATTATAGCTAAAATGGATAGAATTATCATTAAACCGCCCGCACGTTATCAGAAATGAGCGGGCCACTGTAACTTGATAATGCCCTCGTATTGCTTGACGACGGGCCATTATCAAGCCCGTTGTGAGGTGACGTCATAAGGTAGAGAAAGTGACGTCACGTATAATAGTGACGTCATCTGGTTTGTTCCATGACGTTTCCATGTTTGTAAAATGGGGTCAGTGACATTCGTGTTGATTGCAAAATTAAAAAAAAACGATGTTGTTGTTTCTTTTTATTTGATAACAAATTCCATCCATTTTAGCTATAATAACGATAACGCTATTTTTCAGGGCATTATCATATGCAGAAGCCCTCGGTCTTTTCAACTGCCCTCCTTCGTCGGGCAGTTAATGGAAAACCTCAGGCTTCTGCAAATGATAATGCCCTGAAAAATAGCGTTATCCTTATACTATCACCGTCCACGTTACATACCACACTAGCATCTATATACAATAACTTCCTGAGGACTGACCACTGCCCAAACACAATGCAATAAGCGTCTACCGAATCTCAACAAAAAACAATGTAACACAGTTACAATCATTGTTCAACAATTATATATACTACCATATAGCAATACATACATGCTTAAGAGCATTGTACTTGTTCACTGATGGCATCAAAAGACTTTAAAGAAATGAAAATGCATCTTCAAATCAACGTTCAAGCACACTTCTTTAATACAAGCAAAAACGCATGACACCAAGTGGGCCCCAACACAACTTTAGCAAAGACCATCGAAGTCTCCAACCCCAGATTCAAACGAAAATTAGTTAAATTATTTCCCCCAGCCGATTCAGGCCTAATATAATGATAAACTCTCCATCAGAGCATAACTCCCAATCAGTGTGTACCCAACCGACCTTATAACTACATGTATTTACTTCATACACACCTCTCTCGCGTTGTGTCATTGTAATACACTTCTTGCATGGTTGTTGTGTAACGCCACATTCAGCAATGTTCCAGGTATATAACTGCGTTCTGGACCAGACAACCCAGTTATCAACATCATGCCCATCGATCTACGCAATTAGGATATGATGACATCACAACTCGTATCTGCATTAAAACAACAGTGCATGTGAAGAAGTTGTCATCACCACAATTCCCTGTTATTACCTTACCAAACTTCTACAATGGGAATTGAAGTATTCAGACACGTCCCTTTATATGACAACACCATGTAATGTCGAGCTGAACTGTTTCCAAAATATAAGCCAAGGTAGGACGCATATACTACAATGCCAACGCTAGGAGATAACTTGGTATATGATCAACACTCCTGACATCAACATGGTATCCATTGATGTATATAGCGCCAGAATTGGCTCGTTTATCCACCCGTGCGAAACTCAACAAGTGACGCTGCACAGAGAGTATTCGCCATTCGTGTCTGGGACTGATGTTCATTTCAGACTGCTCATTTGAACTATTGCATTTCTTATACATGATCGACCATGACCCAGTTTTGACAAATTACCACGTTTGACGTGAAAGGTGTCGTCTCGGTGTCGACGCGCTGCCTGTGGGGGCTATCACACAGATGATGTTGTGGTCAAACGACGTTGAAACAATCCTGGGACTTCTCTCTCTAGAAGACGAAAGAGATGCTATCTTGTCAGAGCTATGCGACGTCAGGTCTGAATTAAGTTCACAAATTACAGCTCTAAAAACTGAAGTGAATGCAATAAGCTCTAAATGTGGTCAACTAGAGGTAATAGTAACACTAATCAAATCTGATATTCAAGACTTGAAACATAAGCATGACATTATGTATACTGACATTAATGCTGTTACTGATAAATTGAAACTGTCGTAGAACGTCATTCTAAGATTGATGACGATATGGACAAGCTGGAATCATTTAGCAGACGTGATAATGTCATTTTCCATGGTGTACCCGAAGCAGAAGGCGAGAAATCGATGTCATGCAATAGAACGGTGATGTTTGAATGAGCACGTAACGTTTAAAACGTGGCAACCACCTGACAACATCCGTGGTTCCCTCCCATCAGTCAGACAGGCCATTTGTCATACAGCTTATAACAACATAGGATATGCATGACTGGACCACTAATCCCCTGCCTTCTACCTATCAATATGGACTGTTGCACACAGATCATTAACTGTGTTTATGTTTAAGTTTGAATTATTGGGAACACCAGGATTATCATTATGAATGATCTTGTGCTAATTCATTTACAGATTGTAAGAAAACAAATTGTAAAGCAGAAAAGTAATTAATAAATTAGTATGGTTTACGCAATATTATAAATATGAACCATGTTTAATAAGAATTCATAACATAATTCGACATTCAAAGCATCATAATGGCGGATAATGGCTATCCAAGCTTCAATAGGTGACCTGTGTTATTGCCAATCGTGATACAGTTGAGTAGGGGGGTAAATGGAGCACTCACCTTAAGCTGTAATGGTATGACCCAACACTCTGAGTTAAGGTCTGT